CTCTACTCGCACTACTCCCAATGCACTAGGCTCGACTCGAAGAACTGACGTTCTTCGAGTATCCTAAGACCCTATACCATACGCGACTTGAAACCCTAGCTCAACGCTATTTTTAGCAAATACCGAGTTACATGACATCAATGAATGACAAGCTTTTTGGAAATTGAAGAATAGTTTACTTTGAGGTTAGGTTGATAAAGTTAACTTAATAGAAAGAAAGTTGAACAAACTAGTAATTGCTCGATTCGCTTGTTCGACGGTCGTCAAATATGAGATTTCAAAATTATCATCGTCATTTGAATTGATGGCAGTTTGCAAAAAGTTGTGTTATTTGAATAAAGACTTGAAAATGCTAACATCATCAACATTGTTGTCTACAGTAGCATTGAAAGCACACATTTCAATAAGATTTTGACAATTTGTTTCATATTTGCATCATCAAGATCCAGGTTATCAAGAAATAATTATCTAGTTGAATTTCTCAAAATTTCCACTAAATTCTCTACCGCTTGACTTGAATTGTGAACAGCTGAATTGATTTAGATTTCTTGATTAAAAATAACTTCAAAAATGAAAGGAAAACAATTGGTTGTGACGAAGTAGCCTCAAATAGTATTCTTCTCGATGTTAATTTGATCCAATCAAGCACGTTGCGCATATGTGTATAATCTCTAATAAGGTAAATTAAAAATCATTTAGACTTTCACTTATTAGCAAAATCTTGATATTTAGACATCAAATGGTTCAATTGAAAATTTCAAAAACAAGTTTTGAAAGATGCAATGACTATTTAATAAAAAATTTGACATTCGCTAGTATCATTTGATGTAAAAAAATGATACATAGCTTTTGATAGTAGAAAATTTTTTTGGAGATCAGGATGGATACAAGATTTAGATACTACATACATAAGATGAATAGTTGTCTTGAAGTATATAAAAGATGAAGTAGCGATTCTTGTTAATTTTGTTGTAGTTGTAGTTATGCAGAGTGCGCATATAAGATGATAAATCTTGTTAGAGTTTAGCTAGATGATTTTGAACATCTAGATATTTTTCAAAATATCTAGATGAATGCTATTTGCAATAATTAGCATGATATATATTTCACCTAAAGCGCTAATTTCAAGTATCATTGTGATTTTTCATTCCTTCACACCACAATCATTCCAATTGACTATGCATCGAATTGACTCTACAGATTTTGATGATGTTTTGCAATGTTATAAATCTTCCTAAATGTTCATAATGCATTTAAGTAATACATAGATCATGATTTTCAAATTTCATGAAAATGTTTTTTCACCTACACAAAATAGAGGCGGTTAAGTTCTCCGCAACTCTTTTCTTACTCTTTTGAGACGCATTTTAAATAATTATTGGTTCGTTCTACGCAACAAATGTTTGAAGAAAAGCTAAATTTGATGGTTTCAAAATTATGTAAGATCTTGTCTAAAAAAAGTAAAATTTTGTACTTAAGCATCTTGATAGTCACATCAGATGGTTTTAAACATTTCTTAAAGTGAAAAAAGATATTGTTTTGTGCTCAAGAAACATAATCTTGTTCTTGAACACCTCGTTATTAAAGTTAAAATCAAGAATCACTGAGGTAATATAGTAGAAAATGTCTAAATTAATACTGACTAAATTAATAACTTGTGATAATTAATATGTGCGATCTAGTCCCAAGTAGTGACCCTTAAATTTATTAAAAACCCTTCAAAAGTTAATAACTGATACTCCACAGATGTTATTGAATATTTTTAATATAAATAACCACTATGGTATACATAGATTTCACATAAATTTTCTACATTTGGGCAGCTAAACTTTGAAGAAATACTCCGATATTGGTTTTTGAACGAGCTTGCTAGACCTCATAATGCTCATACTATAGTTGGCTGTCTTGATGGCAACAAACATCCCATGCTCAACGATGTCTTGCTGCATCCAAAACTACCGCAACAAACCTGCACACTACAGTTATTCAATTGCCTTTACGAAAATGAATTCTTGAATATCGTCAGCCTCCACTTCATATTCCGGCACAGTATTGGTGGAGAGTTACTGCATAGATATTTTCCTTGGCTCAGAAAGAGCTATCCGAACCTCGTTAATCATGTTTGTTTCGGTGAATCTCTTTGAAGCCATTGTGTTGTGGTTCTGGTTGTAACTGCAGTTGTGATTGTGGGTTGCTGCTATTCCAAGTGAACGTCAGGGCTCGCAAATGTTACAAATGGATCAAATGGAGAATTATTTCTCGATACTCTTGTTATTAATATCCTGTCTAAATTAATAGAGATGCCACAGTCTTGGCAATATTAACTTAGATAGGTTCTATTGTAAAAAGTAAATAATTTCATATGATGAAAGTGAACAATCAAACAACAGTAAACTCATGTTGATAATGAAGTTTCAAGATTCAAAAACAAAATGAAATTTGCAAGGGCAACTATATATATTGATACTGACGACAAAATCTTACGGATAAACTAAATCAACCATTAATTTATCCGAATTAGAACAAAATACAAGTTAAAGCTAACAATCTACTACTTAATCCATGTTGACGAACCATAATCATTGTAAACTACCTAATTAAGTGAGAAAAATTCTAGAAGTAAACCTAACAAAAATTTCCTTATTAAACTAAAATGTAACAGAATCAAGTCATAGCCAAAACATGAGAGAGTATTAATATAAAGAGATGAGTGAAGTATTAATAACTTTTACGCATATTCCTTATGCAAAACCTGCATAGTAGCACAATGCAGGTTTTGGATGAGGAGAATACATAGTATGAAATTCTCCAAAGCAAATAACTTTGATCAACACATCAATGAGATTGTATTTACCATCAATCTTGACTAGGTCAATACTTTTATCAAATATTACATTCGAAATCAATGTGTTTCATTCTGATATCCATCACTTCATTTGTAAGAAGATATAAAACATTGTAGCTATCATTATGAAGACTGAATCTCATCTCAATGAAAAACCTATTTAATCAAATAGTTTTCTTTGTACTTTCTACTATTGCTACATAATGAATATTCAATATAGACTGAGCTACGCATTTTTGCAAAAAGATCTCCAACTAAGAATTCCACATGAACAAGTATGAATACATAACCAATTTTAGATTTTCTCTAATATGAATCTTAGGCTATGGTCAACATCAATGTACCAAACAAGAATTTATCATGGTCTAATAAACCATCAAACAATAAATCATTTTCTTTAAAACTCTTCAAATATCTTAGAATTAAGTTCATTGAGAAATAATGAATTCTTTAGGATTCAGCATGTATTTGATGATTGCTAGAGCAATATCAAATATTGTGCACATCATCAAATACATAAAGTTGCCCATAGCTTGGTAATAGAGAACACATGACAATTTTTATTTTCTCAATGCTATCCATTTGACATTGAACTAACAAAAATTGAAATGTGATGCCAAAGAAATTCATAATTGTTTAGAGTCTCCTATGTTGAATCTATGAAGTATTCGTTGAATGAACTTGCATTGGCTTAACCATAATATTTCCTTCTCCAAGTAGCTATGAATCTCTATCCTTAATGTCTTCTTGGATTCATCCAAATTATTCATATTGAATGCAAACTTCAATTGGTTTTTTGCCTCTATAGACGTCGGATTCATTTTTTGCCAAAATGAGCATTCCATGTACTCAAAATACTAGATTAATAAGATAGAAAATCTCATTATTCTTTTTTTTCTTGAATGTATCTACATTATACACATTTAGTGAAAATTTTGTAATTTTTTGAACTCTGTCAAAAATCTACAAACCAATTTCTCTTAACATTTCATTTCAAAATCAATTGGTTATTTCATGTACATTTCCTACTTTACAGATGCATAGAGAAATGTTGTAACTAGCTCTTTCCTATTCATAACAAGTCTAGATCTCCAAACCAGTGCAGATACTAGACTATTGTCGCGAAGTATACTACAATGTATCTTTGCTTCAACCATAAAAACCGAAGAGCTCATTGATGGAGTGTAGGGGAAAGAATTGTGAATGATGATGTGGCCTAATATTCTATCCCACTATTCATGCAAGTATATAAAATCGCCCAACAATATAAGTCTCCATCTGCAATCCACTTTTGACATCCTACCACTAGTATCCATCATCTTTGACCCGGACTCTGGACAAGTTGTGGACGAGTCAAGGCCTTCACATTAAATTTGTAACTTACATAATTTGTGTTTATTGAATCAAAGCCCTCATACAAAATCTGTGACTTCGATAACTTATAGCTTTAAAATACTCAGTAATTGTTCGAAAACACAAATTAACCCAAACGACCCAACAGTTTGGTTACTATGGAACGATAGGTTAAGTTTGCCTGAGTGTCAACACTGACTTGTTCTATGTACTTGGTGTGCCAACTCTGAAGGTTGATATTACCCGATGTCATCAAGTAATCTTCAGTCTACAAAAATACATATACGTCCATTTCCATACTTACATACATAGATTACAACATACTAATTTGTTAGACCTGGGTCGGCGTGGTGTACAGATCTTCGAGACCACGGTGTTTATCACTAAGCTGAGCTGATTCAAGATTGAAGACGGATGTAAAATATTCATTATTAACTACTCGCTGTAAAAAGTGTACATATGATGTGGGCATGTCACGGATAGTCCAAATTGTGAAAAACTTTGTAATAAATCATTTACTTAAAAGCCATCCCACGTGCACCACCAGTAGGCCTCTGTGAAGAAGAACTCCTATTTTTCGTGTTTAGCCATGATAATTATCCCATCTGCAATTTCAACTTTCAAGTGAAGAGTGAGGAATTTTCGAGAAAGTAAATCCCTACGAATGCTGATGCTCGCTTGATAGTTAAGAGAACGACTTCACCGCAAACGAGGTAAGATTAGGTCGTGGGTATAGATTTTAGGTTTAGTATCCGCTTAGTCAGCCACAGAACTTACAAAACAAAAATACACTCAGAGCTCCAGTGGAACACGATGTGGATTTACTCGCAAAATAATCGATTTATAGAGAGAATTTGACATCGGACATTTCATTAGCATCAAGGCCTCACTAATCTGTAAATCGTTCCTCCAGCTGTAGAAGTGATTAAAATGACTTCCTTACAGTACTCGAAGTTCACCAGGTCAGGTCGGGGTTTTAGTTTTACAACAGGGAAGATGCAAGGGACAAAAGACGAGAGAACTCAAGAAAAAGCTTGCGTACTTGAGCAAAAGAATGGGCATGGCGCTCACTTATCTTGACACTAATAGAATGCACTTGTCATAGACGCAAACAGTCAAAGCAACGGCCTCATTTCGTCTATGTTCAGCTTGCAGCCAGATTGCAGAAATGGCATGACAGCAGACTAGACAGAACGAGAAGGTTGTCACTTGACTAAAGTGATCACTCATAGCTTGTCGGCGAGGCGTTTCTTCAATCAATCACTCATGTTGTCAAGGCATGTGACCTTTGCTTTTGGCGGCCTGAAAAGTACAACCAATTTGTTAGAAGCGACGAATTATAGCAGCATGAACATGAGGCTTTTTTCTATGAATGATTTGACAAGACATTAGAACCACCCTCTTCTAGCTCAAAAACCTGCTATTTTCATATTAATGATTCGACAAGACATTAGAACCACCCTCTTCTAGCTCATCCTTCATAGTTGTTACAAGATTAATCCTATATATATTATAAACTTCAAAGATATACGGGTGAGGCGAACCAATATGTTCCAATCAAGGTGGAGGGCTCTTACAAGAAATTGCCAGATAAGACTGATGTGCAATCAAAAATTAAACGCAATACAGCGTTTTAGAACCGAAAACTATATAAACGCTTGTAGCATGACTTCCGAGAGTTCGTCCCTGAGATGAGCCTTCTCTGCTTCCGCGGCTTCAACAAGATCTTTATACGTTACAATACATTCCTCTCCAGTTCGCAGGGATGCCTAAAAATCAAAGGGATTAAGGTGCTTAGCATTTAAACACTTTCTAGTTCCAAAAACTATGCAATAGCTCTCAGGTAGCAAGCGCAAAATCAAGCGGCCTGACTTTTCCCTACTATTGAGCACGATTTGACGTTTTCAGCGACTATATTGAAAGGACGTTTTTTCTCAGATGTATTCCGTACCTTAGCAGCAGCTCTTACAATTGCACTGCTAATGGTGCCACTGGCAAAATCGAAGCGACGCCCAAGCTCTTCAAACTTGATGTTTGGAGCCAAAGGACACTGCAAAAAAAACAGAGACAGGTGTTAAACTGTGGAAACATAGCACAAAATTGTAGAAGAGGATTCAAAGCTGCCGTCATAAATCCGAATAACTTGACATAGAAACTATCGAATGCCCTTCTAGTTTTGCCTTTATCATTTGCAAAAATACAATCAAGCTTTGTTAATTATCCTCCGCGCAGCACATTAGAATAGCCAATACGAGGTTAAAAAAAAATATAATCCAACAATTTTCAAAGCTGAACTTACTTTAACTGGAATCAACTTTTTCCACATTCGAGATCGTACAGAAGAATCTGGCATTCTAAACTCTACCAAAAACTTAAGTCTCCTTGTGAGCTCTGGGTCCAATCGGTGTATTACGCTTCCCTGAGGTAAATACAAAATACAAAGTTCAGAACATGCAAGCAAAGCACGATATGTTCTATCTCTGCTGTCTTTTGGCTCAAATACGCAGAAGAAACCTAATTACTACATAACATAGAACTTAAATGTATGCATATTTTACTTATTTAACAAACACATTCCGTCTCGTACCTGAACGTTATTAGCGATAAGAATGCAGATTCCAGGAAACCGACCCAGTTCATGCAATAACAAACCGATTGCCACATGTGACCACGGCGATACACTTCCTACGCCACCCCCACCGGCTTCGTCGTCTGCCCTGAAAATCTGTAAAACACATGCGACTGTATACTTTAGCAAGAGTCAACCGTTTGACCAATTGAGTGTCCTGTGGTGATGGGATCAGAAGCACAGAAAACGACAATACAATAATATTTTGAGATAATCTCGTCGGGTATTAAGGGCTTGATACTCGACGAAACTGGAAGAGCACAGACTAGGAAGGTATAACCATATGGACTCAATCAAGGGCATGACAATATAATGTATGCCGTTCCCACCCTTATCTGAAGAGTACAACTGGCCCAAGCAGATAGGACGAAAGCCATCGAAGAACATTCAAAATACCGAAAGTCTACATATAGACAAGGATAGTTCTGACTAAATGGAATTGAAAAGAATGAAAGATGAGAACCTGGAAGTCCTCGAGTACAAGCACTGCATCCATGAGTCTCGAGTCTTTGAAAGCGGTACTAATATTTGACCCAGTCTTGGTGCTGCTTTCTCTGGATATAAGTTGGGCACAGTTTATCACCTTCAGGAAAACATGCCAACAGATCAGCAGAGGGCGTAACTTGCTGGCAAAGATGGGAGGGTTACAAACGGCATGAGAGCGGTCATCAATCAAGACTTCAATACTCAATTTTTAATTCTGGAATAAACTTGACACTACAATTCAAAAAAAGGCCTTTCAAAGAGCACTAAAGGCAAGACCTTGATACATAAGCTTCAAGTACTAACTTCAGCAACTAAGCATATGAAATGTGGAGGTCATGGTCAAGATTTGGGGTCCTATACAGAAGGATGCTTCTGTTAGTGGCTATGCGAAGTATACCTTCAAAGGACGACCCAATTCAAACCCAATGGACTGCATCACAATCGTCACACGGGAGTGTCATCAAGTGAAATGTTCGCATGAGATAGCGTACTAATGGAAAAGTTCAAAGAAATTCAAAAAATTAAAGATAGTTGCCCTCACCTCAGCAGCAGATGATTTCCCTGTTCCATGAGGACCCCAAAATAAACAGGCTGTGCCAAGTCTCTCCTGTTGGAAGCCCCACTGTCCTAAGAGTACAGCCCTTGCCTTCTCGAATGTGACAATTGCATCCATCTTCTCGCGCATTCCGGAACTAAGTATGAGATCATCCATACCTGTCTTCGGTACAACTCTATGGGTGAAAGTCTTCATCTGACAAAACAAGTGCAAGATTCTCAGTCAGATGAACTTCTTTCTGGTTGATAGATGAAAACTTAGCTGTGGTTTTCAAGCCTCGCACTTTGTACAATTCATGGGCAAGTTCATTCGCCAGTTAGATAAAATAATAAATATGCAACATTCCAAGAACAGAAGGTGATAAACAAAATGTCGTGTAGGTAACATAGGTTACCTACACGACATTTTTTTAGCGTAACATAGGTTACGCTAAAAAAAAATGGGCACGGCTAGTTATCCCTCACTTAGGCTAATTAGCCCTAAGTGAGGGATAACTAGCCCCTCCCAAAATAATATTCAGAGCAATTAATTTCTGGTCAAATTCTACCTGCAAACTTCCCCGCATTTGTAGACGGCAACCGTTCACAATGTCCTCTTCTGACATTGATGGATTCATGCTGTCTCGCGATATTGCCATGAGCAGTGCACTCACTAACGCATTCTTTATATATCCTCCTGTGAGCTCATACCTGCATACATCAACTAGATCAATGTACTCATACGCACCACTGCTAAGCTAGTAGTATAGAAATGTACGAGATGAGGCACAAAGAAAATGAAACAAGCTTCAAGGTTTCAGGTTGACCTAACCATTCCACTAGAACTCACAAGTAAAGAAGATATAAAAATATCTACAATTCCACCCCGAAAGCAACGAAAAGGCCAATGCATAGCAAGATAAAAAATTACCTGAGTGAAATTCTATCCCAGTCGATGCTATCATGAACGGGGAGACGCTCAGATGCAAGCTTCCATATCGCACGCCGTTGAGTGTGGTCTGGCGGATGGAATTCGCTCACACATCTGTATATCGAAATGATGAGAGTTTGGATAAGATTCAGACGTCAAGCTTCGAAGTCAGGAGATGAAGACTTACATCACATACGCATCCGAAACTTTAGACTTTATATGTATTGGAAGTGGAAGGCGTACGTGATTCGTCTGTGCATTGCTTCGTCAAGGTCTAAAGGCCTATTCGTGGCAAGCATTATGATTCCTTCATGCCTCTCCATCTCAGTCAGCAAGGAATTGAGCATTCTGTCTCCTCCACGTTCTCTCTGTTACAGGAGCCAACAAACTTGTCACACGATGCTGAGCTCCAGCTTCCAAAAACTTATGTGAAAATTTGAATGACCAAAGGTTGCAAAAGTGGAGATCACTCTGCTTCAGAGTATCACTCACTAAGCTAAGTAATTGGGTAGAGATACACACTGAATATCATGAAAGATAGAATGTTAACTTCTCCAGTGTTTGCACAGCTTGGTAGGCAGGCTAAAAAAACTAAAGGACGAGAACAAAGGAGGTGATTTTTTATTGAGCACCAAAAATCAAATACCTGTGCGAAGATTGCCTCACATTCATCAAAGAATATGATCGCATCGTTCATGTCTGCGTCTCGAAAGAGGCCTCTAAGATCCGCTGAATGATCATCACGGCTACCTCCAGCAGACGCGGAATGTAACGAGTGGAAATCCACCATTAAAACTCGCTTACCTGAGGGTGAGATACCGATACTCAAGCCTCAGAAGGCAAACTTATCGAGTGTTCTCTACCTATCAATGCACTGCAACAAAGCAAATGATACAAGTGAACGGACAATTCGATACATACCAAGGTGATGTGCAACAGCATTCACCGTCATTGTTTTGCCCGTTCCAGATGCACCACACAAAAGAATAACAAGTCCGGCTCCGTAACTCATCACATCTTCCAGGCCCGCACGCTTCCTGTATTGCCTGAATTTGGCAAAATTCTCTACCGTTTTCAGCAGCATGTCCTTTTGTTCATCGGGTAGTACCACTTGCTCCATTGCTATCTGTACAAAATCAGAGTCAGATCCGCATGAAAATACATGAAAATATTTCTACAAAGTTCCTACCAGCACAGAGTTGAGCTCAACCTTGTGTGGTAGAGTATTCTTTCGTGACTGTGAATCCAAGCTTCGAACGGCTAGCACAAGCAAAGCGTCCCATGTTGCAAATCTTCATAAAAAAGTTTCCTGCTTGATCGTAAGAATACTTGGCTTAAACTACACACCTTTGGTGTGTAAAGATGACTTCCTTCCACAAGTTCGTTCATTTCTGTGTCAAGGCCGACGATCCAATCTAACATCCGGCGATCTAGCTCCACTTGTTGATCCATTAAATCACCTCTTCCACCGCGTGCGTATGGTGTTGCCCGCAACTTGATTAAGCCCCTAGATACCAGCTTGCTGGACTTGTAAAAATATGTTCGTGCAAGAACCTGTCATTTCCAAGTACATTTGTTTGACAGTGCGAAACAGGATTTGAAAAACTTTGCAAAGACAAACATACTCATATGGGGACTGCATAACAACTTTTCCTATGTATCAGTAGTTTGTCTTTTGTAAACACAAGACGTCTGATCAATACGATACGAAGACATAGGAACACCGCCTGCAAAGTACTGCTCTCGAAGAAAAAGAAGTAACAAGCAGAGGAACATACCTGTTGTTTGAAAGAGTCGAAGTACACCGTCAAAATGTCCTTCACCTGTGGCAGAGAGCCACCCAACGACCACTATAAGAGAGACCGAAATGTTGCGCACCGGGAGAAAAAGATACTGTAATTGGATTCATCTTCAATAAACTTATCTCGATAACATGAACTGTAATCGCGAATCTTTCAGAACTAGGTGGTAATCAGGATCACGCAAATTACGATACCAACATATTGTTACGGACACATACTTGTATAGCTTCACTACTATGACGGTAGCTACCGTCACCACTGTCTGCTTCAAAAATGCTTTTCACCACTGGCGATATGGACACACCTGGTACAAATAATTCATCGTACATACCACTGCAAAATGAGTTACGTTGGCATAAAACAACTCTACAACAACAACTATATTAGTTGTGGTTGTGATGCGACAACTATCTGTTCATTCATCTCCCTTGGTGGCAACAGCAATAAACCCAACGAATGTCTTTGAAGAGAATTGCTGTCACATTCTTATGCAAACAGACAAAAGCAAGTACCAGTTAGCATAACCACTACGCCCTTCTCAAACTCGTCCAACCCCAGCTTCCGAGCAAGTGCCTGAAAGGAACATACAGCACCTTGATGAGAAAAATGTCAGACAACAATGCAGCACAATCACCAGCTCATGTACAAGCTCGTGTTACACAGACTCGAGAGATGGTAATCTTTACGACCTTTAAATTCTTCACATAATACGAATCTCAGCAACCACACCAATCAGCGAGAATCTAGTTCATGGGTTGGCGCTGGAGTACTTCAAGACGAGGAAACTCAGTCGAGCCTTCTTTGAGAGATTCCTCTGTAAGCTTCATTCTCTCCTGCAGACGATTTTGCACAAACCGTAGCTTTGCCCGTAACTCTCGAATACTTGAAACCTGAAGACGCGTGGACACCGGGATCTTAGGTGCTTGAATGTCAAACCGATGCGCGAATGGGCAGCAAATAAGATTTTCACCAAACACACAAGAGGTATACTATCACAATGATATACACATTATTCGTAACAATCTGCGTCAGACAAAGTCTCCTACTATTCTATATATGTACCTTAGTTGTGCGATATACATCATACCAAGGACGTTCGTCATTGAATGCTTCCTTCATGTCCTCTTTGTGACGAGCTTTGGCAATGCGAAGCATCAAAGCCAGGACTTGAAAAGCATCGTCCAAATATTCCAAGCTCGATTTATAGGCAGAAAGTTCTCCTCTTCTTAGATCATCCTCCTGAGGCATTGCTGGAGTAGATGCTCCTCCATTTAAACCAGGATCCACCCCGTTGCTCACATCAGTTTCTGAAATGCCGGTATCGCCTAACAATGCAGCCCGCTTTCTCTGAGGCTCCATAGCTACCTTTACCAAGTCATCGAGCTGTGCTACTTGAGCTGCGACATCATCTAAGCCCTCCTCGTCAACAACGCCAAACTTTCGCTTTTGACCTTGAACTCCTTTGTTGGAGTCAAAGATCATCAGAAAGCTCTGCTCAGAAGAGTTCTCCTTTAATTTGTCCTCGACAGCTGTATCAGGTCCATCTTCTGTGTCCATTAATACCCCGTCATTGTACCCCTCTGCCTAGCACATACACAACAACCACAAACAGTTACGTGAGAACATCTAGGTCACACACATAGGCATCGCTGCTGGATTAAAATAAACTTGGTGCTTGCTAAAACTCTCTACACAGGTCTTAAATGGGATTCACGACTGAAAGAAATTCTTCAAAAACTCAGACATACTAAACATATTTAGTCCAAGCTTACGTGGCAGCCTAAAATCTACCTTTGATGATTCCATGACACTCAACAGCTCGGTTTTGCTGAATTTGAGTCGCTGTTCTGTTTTCAATGGCCTTAGAAGAAGGACTGAGACTGCTTCATTTGTCATACGAATTGTTTTCCCGTCATAATCATCCTGAGGCAATCCAAGGTAAGAAACACCGTTAGACAAAAACCTCATTAAGGCTAGATAAAGCTCCTTACGTTGAAAAATAGTATTCGAATTCAGCCAAATATTTCAATTAATGCCCAAAGTATGTATCCTTAAACCAAGCCAGAGCTGATCAAGGTGTATGCGTAAGCAATATTACAAGAGTCGGGACGAGGGACTGCTACCTGCCCAATAATTATTCCTTCTGTCATATGTGTCCGCTTGTCATCTAGAAAATCTTCTACCTCTAGTAAACTCATTCCACAAAGTTCCATAGCCAGCTCCTTGTCTTCTTGCCTTACTCCTGAAAAAGCCATCTCATAGACAAGAGCTTAGACGGATGAAAAAACTGACTACCTTTAAGTGATGGGTAATGGAAACATAATTCCAACAGCTTATAGATGACACACCTAGAATGGCTCGAACTGCAGCAGCCTTGGAGGCACCCCGCATGAAAAGTAACTGGAACAGATCAGATTCTCCGGTGGATAATCCATAACGACTGGCAAGTCTAAGTACCATTGGATGCAAACTTGCATCAGTTCCTTTCAAACGAAATTCGGCATATGCTTCTGTCTTCTCAAGAAGCTCGTCGACCACAGTCAACGCCTCTTTCCTGTCATGTTTCACCAAGAAATGAGCAAAGTCAAGCCACAAGAGGGCGTCGATTTTTTCATGTGAAAAGCTTAAGACAAGATATTGAGAAAACAGGAAACGCAAGCCTGCGTCGGAAATCCTCAAGTTGGACGTTGCTTTGACACCTCTGCTGCTTAGTAAATATCATAGACTAAGTAGAAGAGCAAACAGGTATAAAGCAAAGATTTTAAAAACAACGAAGTAGAGAGTATGTCGTAGTAGACAGATGCGAGTGATATAAATGCGAAGGCAGAGAGAACACACATCATGAATGAGAGCAACAACTTGCCATCTACGAAATGTCAATCCACCGATGCAACGCAAGTTTCACTCAACCTACTTTGGAGAGAAGGAAGAAAACATACGCAACAAATATCTGGTTAGCGTTGCTGCCCTCTGAAGAGCCTCCACCAATGTAACGTCCAAGAGCTCGTAAAAGCTCCATTCTGTGTGCTCGCAACAAAAATTTCAATTCTAGATGGGACAACCACTCGGCCTCTGTATAAGCTGCCGATGGCTGCTTACTATTTGATGCTTCATCTGACGCTTCAGCACCATTGACAACGGATGTCTGCATGAAACAACCGGCTAATGAGAACCTACTAATTTTTGGGTCACGTCTTTACAATTTCAGTTATAATACCCCATGGAGATGCTGTAAGGGGTGAGTCAACCCCTAATATCGTGGCTTTAGGATATAGAAGCAGATTAACCATGTGACAGAAGGTGAGGATCAGAACCGGCGAGGGACTTATAATGAGAAATTACAGAAAGTTAGACCTTTTCTTGCTTACAAAGCGTTCAAGGTTTTTTGGATGCTATATAGACTCACCTAATGGTAAAAGAAACTTGCAAAACCTTAACTGAGTCTAGAGGAGGGTATAGAGAGGGCCTCGAAACAACCGTCCTGGCCATATCTGTGGGACTACAAGACGGGGCCTTAATACCTTTAGTTTCCGACACTATAGTTCGGCTCTGAGAAAAACAGGCCAGGTACGAAGAGAATAAAAACTATGACCTCTCCTTGCCCTCCACATTTTCCTGAACCCATACTCTTCCGACAATCTATCAGGGATTTCGTAACTAGGCCGGATGCGTGAGTTCAAGTTGAGGTACCGGATGGACGTCATCTCTCTTAACCACAAGATTAGCAAGATAGGGAACACTCCCGCTAGTTGCACCCGGTGTGGTGAAAGTACAGAACCACTGTCCACAATCAGGTTGCATGCGGTGTCTTTGACAATATCAGAGCAACATCATAACGCATCAACGCTAAGAGCCACAGACCATTTCCTAAGCCTGAATTCACGGCCCAAAGCTGCTGCTCTTCTGAATCAAAAACTTTGCAGCCAACAAAGCTTACTACTGGATAGGCTAATACACAGTTTCCTGCTGACAGCTGGAAGCTCCGAAAGAACCGATTTCTGAGCAGAAAATCTACTGTAGAGGAGAGAGTCTCGACTCAGGTTATCCGAACCTGCAACTATTATCTACTGGATATTTCTGATAACATAATGCAGAAAGATCCCTCCTGTTAAGGCCACTCAGCACTGGCAAAAATGATACTAAGATATGATAAACAAAATCCTTTCAATACGTCGGAAGAAGATTGTGATACACTGAGGTAGTTGCAAACAGATTCTCAGGCGAACAATCCTTTATGACGAGAAAAAATCATGTGGGAGGGGATCATGAGCTTCAAGTTAGCTCACGCTCGTGCATAACTTGATTTCTTACCGGACTATTGGCAGCAGCTAACTCCGTCGAGAACTCCCGCAGAAGTAACATCAAGTCGGACCGGATCCGCTCAGGGTCGGGGGGTGAAGGGTTTACAGGAACAGCCGACATGTTCAACCTTTCGAGAACTACTGCTGGATACGAATTATTGACACCCGGCGACGGGGCTTCAACTGCACCGGAAGTTCCAAGAATATTCCATCACTATGAAGTCGATATGAGCAATTGAGAGCGAAAAAAACTGAACAAGGTCCATCATTCATATCTACAACTCAACATTGACATTGCAAGTTTCAAACAGCGACTTCGTGATCATGTAATACCTGATGTTCCTCCCATTATCGGCAAACACACGCATGCCACTCACGGACGTTTTCACAATTTTTCTTCACAGTAATAACAAAATCCTGTGAAGAGAATTCACAAGTAATCGGTTTCGATAATGACCTAAATAGTGTGCCTGCACTGGATTGAAATCACAAATTTTCGCAAGAGGAGATGTGAAATCAGAATTCACCGCCGCACTCAGAATCACTTCAGTAATTACACCGTTCCACTCTAAAATATACAATCACCAGTTTGCACTCTAGAACGGGCATTTCCTCCACATTGCCGAAACAAAGGATGGTGCCATTCAGAGAGTGACCTGACCCACCGCCGATAGCCTCAACAATTCTCGACTATATGTTTTTGGGCCGTCTTTTTCCTTCTGTCTATCATCGGGGCGGGAATCTGCAAACCAAACCCCTCGCTCGGTCCGACGCTCACTCGGACTTTGATTCAACTCTTCATTTTACCCTTTTAAGCCAGGTCAAAATTTTGATTGGACCCCGGGAAATTCCACCGGAACCTCGTCGTCTCAGTTCAAGAAACGTGGCGCCGCAGCGGACATTGTCGTCCTCTACCCTTTCTCTTGCAGCTCGATTGTTGCCGCCTCCCTCTGCGCCTTTCTCTCCTCCTACTACGACCGATGCCTGTCGCTGGGCGCGTCGTCTTCTTGTACACACGCCGTGACCCTGACCTGTCTGCTCTTCGCACATGTTTCGTGGGCGTCAAACATTAAGCACTTATATCCTCTCTCTCCATCAGATTCACTCGCTCACACTTCTTCCTCGGCTCAAACAACCATTTGTTTTATTCGGGCCCTCCTTGTTCCGTGGTGTACGTGAATATACAGATTCTGTTCAGATTGTTCGGTGTGTTTTCAGAACTTCGACTTAGGTTCTTCTTGTTCTTCGTCTCCATTTATCAACTAGGAGTTCAATCAGCTCGAAAAAAATTATTTCAAAAAAAAACTATGTACGTAAATGTAAATGTAAATGCAAGGTTATATTGTATATTATGTATATCTACATATAAAGTGTCTCCTCAATCTTTTGGAGTTTCGACTGAAGAGTGATAATAGCTCTTTTTGATCTTTTTTATCTACGCTTTTACCGGATAGTGATGACTAGGAAACATTTGGAAGCTATTTTCCAAAAGAACACATGATGCCGGATCAGTTCCCGTCCTTTTCCAATCCGCAGCCGCCCCGTGGAACGACGCGGAGAAAGCTCCAATAATCTCAGCCTCAGTTATTTTCTGCTGGTTCTAAGGATATTGTTGGACTTGTATTATGATGTTGGACGCCTATATTGTGCTCATGCCTCTCTAATGACAATGTCACACATTGAGGACGATGTCACTGTCTAAACGTATGCAACATGCATGTTATAAACCCACACAGCTATATCACAACAGGTCTTTTCAACTATCAACGTGTCATACTTTTACTCTGGTCATGACCTTAGCATTGAGCGAAACTGTCTGAAAACGCCAAAGATTCCAGTCATGAGATAGCTGATGTTCAATCATAAGCTGAGCTTCAAATGTATGTTAAGCCCGGGTTAAGTGCCAAAAAGCAAGGTTTGTAAGACACAGTTTTCAAATGTTACGCACTATCGGATAGATTGCTTCCTTGTATAGTCTTCTACATACTCTACTTCGTTATGTAAGCCCCTCTATCAATGATGTTTTAATCTCTATCGTGTTGGAAGAAAATTGATAACAATCTTGAGTTCAATCATGTAACAACATACTGACCATGTCTTTTTAATGACAATAATGTAATTTTTGTATGATAAAAACCATATATGCTTCAAAATACAACATGAAATAAACGTATATATTTTAAAAATACATATTTATATTTCATATATATAATATAAAATTTTCTCTTAAGTTCACATTTATGTATACAGTCTTTTCGAAGATATAATTTAATATATTCTACAATACCCCAAATTTTAAATGGTATTCAGATTAGCACTATGGCATTAAAATTTTATAGTATCAAATATGTGAAGATTATTTCTTGGTAATAATAAGATTTTCATAGTATTTAATTATGAATTTAAAGAACTTTTGGTTCATATTCAAGATTTAAATATATCTTCAAATGAAAATCTGAATATCTCACATATATTTTCTCATATATTGCCCAAACTAGTTTAAGGCTCAGAATTTATCTTTATTGTTGAATTAAACTGAATCTTTTTCTGGGGAAAATATATTTTTAAATGTTTTATGGCTCATAATCTATTTCGATTTGACTATACAAATTTGAATGTGATTAGATTTATATTTGAAAACGTAGATTTTCTCAATTAAGTGCTTTACTGATATATATATATATATATATATATATATATAATTTTTTTAAAGAAAAATCATATGAAAATTTTTTAATTGAAACTTCTATATAAACTGGATTGAAGTCGTAAATTCACTAAACTTGCACCGCAAGGTCGACATTTGTTAATATATTACAAGCTGCAACAGGAATTTGAGAGAATTCAAAATTTCAAATGAAACTTCAGTTAAATCTTGCATAAATGATTGATTTATCAATGGATAATTTTTGCAATAATTTTATATCTTATTGATCTTAATTTTAAAAACATAATTTTTAATTTTTTTGTCTACGCTTTTATTTTTTAAATTTATATATATATCTGTAAAAACTAAACTTATCCTAAAAACATACATAATTGATTGCAAAAAAAAACCTTTGTATGAATATTTTTAATCCAGTAAATGCAATTGAGAGCTCTTGATTTTTATGCTTATGTAAGATAATGTTTTATATCACTGATATTCTGCCTGTATATTGCTATGATAGATTTGTTGAAAAATTATTATTATTCTTAAGAAACATGCATTGAGAAATCAAATGAATAATTTTCTATTGCAATAGATATATATACATAGACATACAAATGACATCAGAGTTGTAAGATTGCAATAAATGTAACAACTTTGATTGATAATTTGACCTTTTTAAAAAAAATTCTGTGAATTAAAATTTTTGAAAATAATTCAAGAATTGGAAGTTATATTAATGAATTTTGAGATAAACTGGAAAAAAATGTGTGATAAATAGATAACCGATGCAGCAATTATTTATGTGATACATTAAACATCTTGGAACTTTTTTTTTTCATGGTACATTGGTGTACGAACATTGTCAAAAGTTATTCAAAAAATATTGTAAGTACAAAGTACAAATTTATGTAAAGTTTGATGGAAATGAATGATTCGGTTATTAGATGTCTCAAACTTTGCTTTGTAGCATAGAGTGATGCAAAACTGCCAAATAGGGGATGACTAGTACACAAATTTCAGAGAAAATATTCACACAAAGAACTCTATACCTGGACGTTTAGGTGCTTTCAAAGCAAAATAAGGGAGCCGCTAGTCACCACCTACTCCCAATTTTAAAAAACCCCTGCGCACTTTTCTCGCACTCTGATTGGGTTGGATGGAAAGCACTAGCCTTCATCGGCAAGGTGTGAATTTAGAGCCGTGCGGACAACCTTTAGACTAGAATAGGTTGCTCTGGTAAGTTCTTCGTAACGATCCATGGTGATGTAAGTGTTGTTTTGGATGCGCTTTTTGGGAGTGAGTGGTGATTAGCGGCTCCCCAAAATAATGTCAATGCAATATAGTTCTCGACGCAAACTAGAGAAAGCTATCAACATCTCGTAGTAGTGAAACTTAACATTTTGTCAAAATTACATAATGGAGTTACTATCAATAATGTCATGCATCTTTTAAGAGGTTACAAAGTGCATTGATGTAGGATAAATGGTAAAATCTTTTAATAGAATGGAATTTTAGGGTTTTTCAATGAATCAAATAATGCATATTAAATATTACGTCCAAGTACATCTTAAATGATGTCATTCACCAAATATATCATCTATTCGACGAAATTAGCTGACGTAGGAAGTGATGCATCAAGATTGAAATGGCTATTTTATATCAAAGTTGAATGAAACAACAAAGTTATTTCTAATTCTGCTATCTTGTCATATTATTTTAGAAATCAAGATGGGTATTACTTTACATGTGTTGGTTTGTTCGGATGTATCAAGAATGTTTTCGATGCTGTATGTATGACAAACAAGTTCATACATATATATACGTGGAACAAGATGGGATCATATAGCATGTTCAACAATCTAGTAAACATACCATTGTTGGATATTTCACGGTGAGCAACTAACCAGCTCTTAGGCGAGCGAATAGAAATGAGGTCCTGGTCAGATCTGGAGAAATATGAGCGAAATGCATCTCATGGAACCAACATCTGGGAGAAAATGTTCGATCTAAAAGTTGGATCATTCACTGGGCAAGGCTCGCACTGAACCCAGGTCAGGAGGATGCCTGTGTTCGGAACAACGCCGAGTTCTTGTCCATTCTCATCCTCGTCATCGTCGCATACCAGTCGACAACCTTCTTAATGCCGAGTCGCCAGCGACAAGGCAAGGATCGGAGACTGTGTTATGCATCCACACCGTTCGTCGCAGTCTTTTGGCAGCAGCTTCGAATTCGCGTGAAGCACGTACGTCTCGGATACGCGAGAGAGTTGCTCTCTCTGGACAAGCAGCGTTGTTTACTCGGAGGCTGAATGAGTGAGCGCTGATTCCTGGGGATCCTGGGGATGACTCTGGCATTGCGAGGTTTGCCCAGCTTCGGGCTGACAGGTCTGAATGTACTGCAGCAGACTGGTCACACACTTGTACAAATCCGTGATTTATAACTTGCTCTTTGAGAGAGAGAGAGAGAGATTGACTGATACAAAATGGTCCGCCGCTTCCAAATATGTCCCTTGTACAGAGGAGCATCTTGGATTTCATTTCTTCTTTCCTGTAATCAGCTTCTACATCGCGATCAGCAGTCTGGTAAGTTCTTGTGAGCAACTGCTTGATCCAGAAAAGGATCTTTCAAGTCTCTTCACGCAACTTTCGGACTTAAACTACGAGGATAAAGTCATGGTCGGCGAATTTCTTAGTAATGGTATAAGGAACAGTCCAGTGCTTAACATACAGCAGTTTCCCAATGAATTCTTAGACTCAAAAAATCGATCATTAATTTTACTTGGATATCGAGAACCCTATGTTGAAGTCCAACTGTTTCAGTGGTTTGACCTTGAATTCCAATTCAGAATTACAGTTGCATGACTAAACTTCGTCAGAAGGATTCAAATCTATATGAAATTTGGTTAATTCACGCACTAAGAGTTCCTCTCCAGGTACTTCACATTCCAAAATTGCGAACGAGAATACAAGTTGTTTCTCCAGTGTACATCGGTTTAAGTGTACCAGTACTCAAACATTGGATCTTCTTGGAAAACTTTGAGATTATGAAATCCGTATCGAACGATATAAGACACTGAGCTCGGTGCAGTTTATACATTAACCTGTGTGGGCCCTCAAGTGATCACACATCAAACCTGATTCTCCCATGTCTTCTGATTATGATGTTCAAAACTTTTGGCCCTGAGAATCCAGATTACAGCCTACAGATGACTGAAGCGCTGAACAGAATAATGGCAAACTTGTGTTCAACTAGATTTAAAAATTTGGGTAGGTGTGTAATCTAGCTGACTAGAAGAACATGCTTCAGACTGATTCTCATGATCTAAGTACGGGAATCCGAGCAATGATTCTTAGCTTTGTTCGAAAGCGTAAAGCTCCCGACACGCAAACTATCTTGCAACTGGCATGAA